GTCTCCTTGGCGTGAATGGTACTAACAAAAAGGTCCTTGAAAGAGCGTCAGTCCTTGCGGTCACCCTTGAAGATAGGAATGTTGATTGGAGGGAGTCGTACGTTGAGCATTAGTTCAGCTGCAGTGGCACGAAGTGATGCTTGTCGAAAGTCCCCTAGCTGAGCAGTTAACGCACTCGTTTGGCTTGAAACTGCAGCTTGGTTCGACAGGAGCAATTGTTGCGTTTCCAGCAGTGCCGAAACTGCATGCCGTAGATTGTTGGTTGGTTCCTCAAACGTGTCATCACCACCAACAGACCCTTACTCCATCTGCGAGTAGATACATTTGGCTTCATAATATAACTCCTCAAACTCAGTCAGGTAGTTGAAAACCGATGAAACTGCTTCCAATGACGGCGTTTTGTCTTCGATTTCACTCTGCAAGTTTCCGAGATGGGGGCGACCCCGGCGTAGTGGTTAATATCCACATCGATGTAGTGGCAAAAATACACCCACAAGCTAGATCTATACTCAAAATCAACAAAAGGGAATATCTTGACCTGGAACTGAATAGAAAAATACGCACTAAGCTGTTCGAAGATCAAAAAGCAAAAAAGGAATACAGCCAAGCAGTCTGGAGTAAGTACTTCGCCGTGGTAAAGGACCGATACAAGGAGTTCAACCAAATCTACACCGATGGGTCGAAAACGGCAGCCGAAACTGGCACGGCACGACGGATCGATCCTCAAGGACAAAATAAATGAAAACTTCTCCATCACCAACGCGGAACTGCTAGCGATCAGCAAAGCCATAGAGCTGATCATAGACAGGAACTACTCCAAAGCCATCATCTTTACGGACTCAAAAGGAGCATGTCAAACACTGTTGAACAGCGAAAGCAAGGAAAACTTCATAGCCGGGAAAATCATCGGAATGCTGAAAGCTCACAGAAACAAATACATCGTTATCCAATGGATCCCAAGCCACAAAGGTAATCCAGAGAGCGAAACAGCTGACCAGGAAGCGGTCAGTGTCACCCTCTGCAGACAAACAGAGTTTACGGCTCTAGGTCTTTCGGACGTTACATCTCTAGCTAAGCAGAAATACCAAGAAATTTCGGAAGAAAAGGGAGTGTTCCACAGAGCATTCATGGCAACACCAGGAAACAAGATATGGTGCCACAACTTGGCATTATCAAACGAAGAGAAAACCGAGGGGACGACTCTATCTACGATGCAAAAAAGATTGTGTTTTGCTGTGGCTAGCTGCACGCTTGCTGAGTAGATAGAAAGAAGATTGATGACGATTCTGAAGATTTCCTGCAAAAAGATGATGAGCGATACAAGTAGATGTGACAAATGAAAGAAGATTTTTCGAAGATTGATTCGCTAGTGTGAGATCTGTTGAGCAGCTAAACTTGAGATTTAGATGTGTCGCCCCCCTTGGAGAAAACAGTGCTTAATCGGAACCCGACGAGCTGTGTGACTACTGTGAGGAAAAGAAGGACATCATACACATGCTGTATGTATGCCCAAAGTACAATGTTGAACGCGTCATATTTCCAGCACTGGAGTATTACAAACCACTAAATACTATACTTGAAGAAAACGCGGAAGCACAACTAAAGCAAATAGCTCAAATCATCAAGCAAATCAAAATCAGAATTTCAGACAAGACCACGTAAAACAAAGCAACTATTTAAGCAAATCAGAATCAGCGGCGGCGAATTTGTCAGTCTGTCAACAGACAACGTCAAACAAAAAAAGACGCATGGTCTTTAGCAAAGGTTGTAGCTGCGATGATTTCAAGCTACTTTGCTGAAGATTTTTTTTTCTATCTCTCTTAACGTTGTCATTTCTTGAATTGCTCTAAAATTTTAAAAAACGCCCAAAGTAAATCCAGAGAAATTGCTCTAAAACGAGAACGATAAGATATATAAACAGTGTTTAAGATCTTTGGAGTTGATCCACGAGACATCTGCGACTAACCAACTAAAATTGACTCATCATGCCTCCAAGGCTTGAACTCGAAAAAAATGCACCATTTTTATCCGTGGGTAAAAATTGATGAAAATCTGGGCATAACTAGTTTGGAGTGAATTGTTTACATGTGCAAAATTTCATAACAATCGGTTCAGTGGTTATTGAGATGTCATCGAAACAAATAGAAAATCCGACTGCGACCATGAGATGGATCGGAAGACAACTGGGAATCACCCATACAACTGTGTGACGGGTGGTAAAATCGTTTAAGAAGTCCCAGACGACCGAGCGGCGGGCTGGAAGTGGAAGAAAATCGAAGATAGCTGAGGCCCGGAAGGTGTTGGATTATTTCAAGCGTAATCCTAACCTTTCGATTCGCGACGCGGCTCTGAAGGCAAAGTGTTCCGCCTGGTTCGTTCAGCAAACCATGAAACGAGCTGGGCTTCGTGTATTCAAGGTCCGGAAGGCACCGAACCAGCGTGATCAACAAAACACGGCGGCCAAATCCCGCGCAAGGAAGCTGTATCGAGAGTGGTTAACGAAACCGATGTGTGTGGTTATGGATGACGAAATCTACATCAAGGCAGACGCAAAGCAGACATCGGGGCTGGAGTTCTACGTTGCCAAATCACGGTTTGATGTTCCGGAAGACATAAGGAAGAAGAAAGTGGACAAATTCGCCAAAAAATACTTGCTCTGGCAGGCCATATGCCAATCGGTAAACTGAGTAAACCGTACATCACAATGGGTACCATCAGCACCGAAATTTACCGCACCGAGTGCCTCCAGAAGCGTCTGTTGCCCTTCCTGCGGTCCCACGGAGGTGACACATTATCATGCCATTACGCGCGATCGACGTTGGATTGGTACAGAGACAATAACGTTGTTTTTGTACCAAAAACCGCCAACCCCGCAAATTCACCAGAGATTCGTCCGGTGGAAAGATTTTGGGCCATAATGAAGGCTAAAGTTCGAAAATCGTCCAAGGTGTTTAAGAACGAGCTGGAGTTGAAGAAAGAATGGATGAAAGTGACCAAAAAGGTCGGCTTCATTATTGCACAAAATGTAATGAGGGGTCTTAAGGGAAAGGTGAGGGCTTTCAGCGATGGAAAGGAAATTGAATAAAGTAATTATGCCGAAACATAATCCATATGTATTAGTTCATTCCCTGAAAGTTTTAAGAAAATTCGACTTAAAATGCATTTTTTTTTTCGAGTACAGGCCTTAGACTTAGCCCGTAAGGCATCTACAGATGACTCGTAAGGTCTCTGAGCTCAACCCCACAAGTCCTTTAAACATTATCCAAGTAACCACGAAGCCTGCTTATTATAGGGTTTCCATGTTTTATATCAGCTTTAGTTTGCCAAAAGGGTCCTTATCGGGCTTGATGGTTATTTGGGTTATCGAAGAAATATCTGAAATTGATTCATAAGACCCCATAACCATGACCCAGATGTTGAATCATAAGGCTTTGAAGTTAACCTAAAAAATATTTACAGTTGACCCACTATGCCGTCAAAGTTAACCCATAGGTCCTCCGCAGTTAATCCATAAGATCTCTGAGGGTTAAATATTAAGCTCATCTAGATGATCAATAAAACCTCTTGACTCTACAGTCTCTGAACAGCTCCCGAAGCCTTTCTAGATGATCTAGGACATGTCTTATAGTTTACTTTAAAGGCCATGGTAAATAATGTTGCTGAAGTTAACGTCCAAAGTTTACTTATAAAAATTCTTGGCTGAACCCAAAAACGCAAGACCTAATGCCTTCCAGGGGTTGATGCAAAAGATATTTGAAGTTGACTCACAATGTTTCTAGACTTGGACTGTGAAATGTCTTTATCTGACTCGTCAGGCCTTTGGAGTCGATCCAAGGGAGATTCGAAATTGATCGCTAAAATTCAGGCAGACTTAGCCCGTAAGGCTTCTGAGCTCAACTTCACAGGTTCTCTGTGTCATAAGACCTCTAGGCATGACCCTTAAAGAAGTCTCAGCGTCAAGATGGCTCTTAAGTAAACCTAAGAGAAATTTACAATCCAGAGATACGTCCTCTAAATATTATCCAAAAAAATATCTGAAGTTTCCAATTGAGCCAATAAGTCCTCTGAAGTAAACCTATTTACAGTTGACCCGCGGGCTTTGAGTCGGACAGTCTCTAGACTAAGCCTGTAACACATTCAGAGCCGTACTGACGATTTTTGTTCAGGTGGTGAACTCTCAGTTTTGTGCCCCTCCTCTTAGCTCTTTCACTTTTACGATGCCCTCATTAGAAAAAAAAGTGTTAACTATGGTGCCGAACTCATTAAAATTTAACCCATAAGTCATCTATGATGTTTACTCTAGGAGCCTCTATAATGCCTAACTCCTAAGACGTCTGAACTTAACTCACAAATCTGCTGTAGTTGATCCAATAAAAGCCTGGAGTTTGATCATTAAGGTCCCTGAAGTAGGCCACTGAGGCCACAGAAGTTTAGTCATAAGGCTTCTGTCTAAACACCTTTGAAGGTAAGGTCTCAAACGTTTTCTGTTGAAATTTCTTAACTTCTTATTAAATCTTTGGAGTTGTCCCACAATGTCTTTGGACTTGGATTATAAGGTGCCTGGAGTTGGCTCGTCAGGCATTTGACCTCATTCCATAAGGCCTCCAGAGTTGACCTATAAATTCTCTGAAGCTAACCCATATGACTTACTGGAAATACCAAGTGCTGACCCAAAAAGCCTCTGGAATTGAACCGTCAGTTTTATGGGTAAAGCAGATTTTGGCGTTTAATGACATGTCAACTTCCGGGACCGGTCCAAGGGACTTTGAAAATCTAACTTCTTTGTACTTGATTTTGAACATCTCTGTTTGTAGATCTACTGAACTTGCTCTCGAGAGTCCCCTAGGCTAGCCTTGAATGCCCTTTAGGTTTGTCGTTGACCTTAATATTTAGATTGATCCAACGGGATGCCTAGAATTCCCTGACCTTGTCCTAAAAGTCCTCGAAGCTTAACATTGAACCCCATCTAAAACCTAATCTACTTCCGTGTCCATCCGCAGGAACCAGCAGCAAATCCGGCAACAAGAACAAGGATCTCTACGCCGACATGGAAGTTAGCAGCAATGGGATGGTCAACCTGAATGCGATCTCCGCGAAGCACCGCGCCATGGTGGACGACTACGTCTCCGTGTCCAGTATGGTGCAGAAGGTGGCCACCGTGGCACCGCCGAAGGAAACCAGGAAGGTTGCTCAAAATGTGCTCCCGAGTGTGGACTCGGTCAAGGCTTTCCCAACGCTGGGTGATTCTGGCGGCGGCGTCGGTGGCGGCGGTGGTGGCAGTAAACCGGCAAAGTCCGCTCAGTGGGTGGTGGCCAACAAGGTGAACTCATCGTCTTTCTCCGGAAGCGGAGGAGCCTCCGCCAATGTGTCTTCCAAGAAGAAACCAACTCCTGCGCCGAATTTGAAGGAGGAAAGCACGTTTGTAAATTTGAATGCTTTAACGGGGAAAAAGTCCGCTGGGGGTGAGGGTTCCGGATCCGGTTCCGGTTCTACGGGAAAGGAAAAGGGAGCCAACGATAAGAAAAATAATAACGATCAGACCCAAATCAAGCAGCAGGGCAAGGGAAAGGAGAAGAACAAGACCAACAAGGAAAACGAATCTTCTTCGATGGGTGACAACTTTCCGGCACTGGGAAGTCAGCGGATTTCGGATTTTGCGCTGGCGAATCTTGGCGGGGGCGGTGGTCCGAAGCGAGGTCCTCCCGGATTTGAAAATGTTAGTGTAAATAATAGCAGTAGTGGTAGTAATAATAATAACAGTAGCAGCAGCAGCAACAACGGGGGTAGCAATGGAGTTCGTAAGGTTCCTGCCCCTCCGCCTGGTTTTAGCAATGTGACCTTGAACTCAGTGGCCAGGAACACCAACAGTCTGACCTTCACCAGTTCAAGCGGTGAGAGTTACAATATTTTGCCAGGAACGCATAGCTTCGTGGCTCCGTCCAATGCGAGCAAGCGAAATCAGGTGAGTTGGTTTTGGGGCGCGGAATATGTGTCCCAGCATTCGCTTTAGAAAACTCACGCTCTCATTCATCATCCCAGAACCTAGTGACACACTTCCAGCGGGCGCTTAAGAATCCGGAAGCGCTGAGCGAATTCCGTACCATTTCGCAAATGTTCCGCGACGGCATGTACAATCCGGGTCCGTACTACGAGCACTGCAAGGCTGCCTTAGGCGAGAGGTTTGCCGATATCTTCCCCGAACTGGTGGCCCTTCTGCCTAATATCACCAAACAGCAGGTATGTTGTCCATAGCTCACCACCCTAAACCGAATCCAAATTACCAAATGTCTCCTCTATCGTCGTAGGAACTGTACCTGGTCTACTGCCAGGAGGCCAAGAATCGACCGAAGAGCGCCGGTTTCGGCCAGAAGGGTGGTGGCAAGTCGTCCATCCCTCAGCTAGAGGTTTGCCAGGTGTGCAAGCAGGTCCTGGTGCGGGACGATCTGACGGAACACTTCCAGTCGCACTACATGGAGAACAACTTCCCCAAGCTGGGCGCCAACGGCAAGCCGCTAGAGGATGGCAAGGTGTCGTCGGCTGCCTGGCGGAAATAGCGGTAAATACTGACATGTTTTTTTGAAAATAATTTCCTTGTGCGCTTCATGTTAAAAATGAGATCAACCGCAAAAGCAAACATATAAACAAAATCGAATGTTCGTTGTGCTTCTTTTTCACGGAAGGCGAAAAGTGAGATAGCAGTTCGGATCATTTTGTTTTTTATCAAAGCTTAACGAGATTTTTCCACCACATTGGTAAGTATAACTCACAGTTGATTGAATTTCAATGTTTTTTGATTTATTAGTGGGAAGTGAGAACAATAATTAGCCGGCTGAAATTTAAAATTGCCTGATAGCTTGAGTTTTTTTTTCTTCAAATTCAATCAATCTAAAATGGGTATAGATTACATAAGGTCGCTTTCTAATGCGGTGTACAAACTGGCAAAACGTAGACAGGAAAATCCTATTATTACCTATTTAAAAATAATGCAATGTAAATATAGATTTTCAGTTCAAAAGTAAAAGATATATACATACCTAAAAGAACAACAACAAACAAACGCTACCATTTTAGAGGGTAATAAATAAAAGTGGTTGTACACGCTTTATGGAATTTCCTGGGCTGTTTAATTTCGTGAGTGTGACTATCACAGGATCCCGCATTGTGGCGTTCCTCTTCTAGGCTTTTTACACTTCTGTAGCGAGCGTTTTGCCGGTTCTCAACTAGTTATTAATGTAGAACTTTATGTGCCAAATAATGCATGAATTTGTATATTGTGTGTGGCAAGCACAATGCTATTCTATGCCCAGGGAAGTCGAGAAAATGTCCATCCCAGAAGATTTCCTACACCGAACCGGGACTTTCAGCTTTGAATACCGTCTAGGCCTCCTGAGGACGGTTCTACCTCCTTATTCTCGGAATAACAACCCTGCCGACTAGTTAAATGGGATTTTCTTCGAAGCGCCTACAACTTGCACAGGAAGCACATGTGTTTAATTCCATCATAGAATTTGCACGAGGTTCAAAAACATACAAATTACTTCCAAAAGATTAGAAGCACACAAGACACATGAGAAGATTTTGAATATCGGGTCGAAGGGTATCAGAATTTTATGAAATCAAGCTGAACATTTCATTAGAACCTAAGTAACATTGACAGATTCTCTTCGTTGACTTTCTCTTAGTTTCTCAACGGTCATGTAAAGACATTCCCAGTAAATTTCAGCACACAGATCGATAAAAGAAGCTTTTATCTAGCATATAATACGACAAACACAACAAGCAACGGCTTTGTGCTCAAGTTATTAACGAAAGAGAATGTCGATGAAGAGAATCGATCAATGCTACTTAGAACCAATGATTATAATTATATGAACGAAAAAAATCATGAAATTCGGGGTGGTTAATTTTCCCGGAAAATTAACGGTTTACGGATTTTACGGGACTACACCGGAGCACTGCAGGAACTTTGCTGGACGGGACAAAAGGTATGGAAAAGCGGGCATCGAGCGGCTACTTTCTACCAGAGCTGTGGCACCACCAACGAGCTGGGAACCGGCTTTGTAGTACTGGGTAGGTGTTAGAATGTAGACCATCTGTGTGCTAACAAATATGTACGGACAGTAGACCATGAATTTTGAATATTCCTATTTATACTGACTCTGTAACTTAACTCTTTCTCTTTCTGCATTAAACCAGTAACCAGTTAACAACTTGTTTTTCTATCAGTAGGATGCACCAACGCGTGATTGATTGGCAGCCGATCAACGCGAGGATGTACAGGTTGAGGATTAAGGCCAACACGAAGCGAGTCCCGACTACGAGAAAGAAACGTTTGATGCTCAGCTGTTCGGGACGTCAAAATCGTCATCGGCGACGTAAACGTGTTCAGGTAGGACGGGAGGCAATGTACAGACCGGCAATCGGGCCAAACAGTCTGCATTCCGTATCGAACGACAACGGCCAAGAAAGCGTGAACTTTGCAGCCTCGCGGGGTATGGTAGTCCGAAGTACCTTTTTCCCCCGCAAGGATATCCACAAAGCCACCTGGAGATCACATGACCAACACACAGAAAACCAAATCGATCACGTTCTAATCGACGGGAAATTCTTTCCGACATTATCAACGTCCGCACGTACCGCAATGCGAACATAGATTTGGACCACTACTTAGTTGCAGTATGCATGCGCTCAAAACTCTCGTCATTGAGCAATTACGGAACGCCGGAGTTGCCCAGGATTACGCGCAGCAGCTGGAAGCTGCACTACCCACGGAAGAGCAGCTTGGCGCAGCTACTCTTGAAGATGGCTGAAGGGACATCCGTTTCGTCATAAAGGGCGAACACGAAATTATTGCAACACTTACAACTGGCTGTATCTTTATTCCTACCAAACTTGGCATAGTTTCTCTTTGAAGTGTATTGTTTACATCCTGTAAATTGCGTTATTGTCTGTTTCAATGCGGCTAAGATGTAAATGAGTCAAGTGAAGACGCGTGAAACAATTTGGTACTCTCACTTGGAAAATCCGGAGCTGTCCCATCGTGCTTTAGGAAAAATACTGCATATCAATAATTCAACCGTATCAAGAGTTATAAACAGGTTCAAAGACCGGTTGACAGTGGATCACAAGCACAGAGCTGGAAGGAATGGTGAAGGGTAGTTTCACCCGAAATCCCAACATTTCAACACGTGATGTTGCCAAAAAGGTCGGTGTTTCGCAAAGTTACGTGCAGAAGGTCAAGGCAAGAGCTGGATTACATGCATTCAAGGTTCAAAACTTTCCAAACCGCGATGAACGCCAGCAAACTATTGCTAAAACCCGCGCAAGGAAACTCTGCACGGAAATGTTCACCAGATACAGTTGCTGTGTGATGGATGGATGGATGATAAAACATACGTCAAAGCTGACTTCCAACAATTACCAGGACAGGAGTTTTACACTGGAAAAGATAAGTTCCAAGTGGATGATCGTTTCAAGAAAAAGAAAATGTCGAAATTTGCATCAGAATACCCTATTTGGCAGGCTTTCTGCACCTGTGGAAAAAGAAGTAAACTATTCGTCACAAAAGGCATCATGTAACAAGTTCTCCGGTAGTGGTAGAGCAGAACTACCAACAATCAATACGAAACTAACGATTTTAAATTGGCTCACCACTTTAGCAGCCTATTGGTCCCAAGCAAACGATTAACGTACCCTATTCTAGTTGAAATTCTATTACTACACTATGTTTGTTTTGATTCGCTATGAAAGTTTGACAGATAACATCAGGGGTGTGTGGATTCATGCAGAACATGCAGGGGTGAGTGAAATAGCTTGGGACTGCTTGGGACCGTTGTTCTGGTACTGAGTGAGCCAAAAATAATAATGATTTTCTTCGGGACCCAGTGGTCTTAGAGTTACCTCTATGGAACTACCATGGGACGGACTAAGACTAAGGCCAATTGCACCAAATTTTCAAAGGTACACAAATTATCATTTTATAGCTTATATTTTGTGCGAGACCCCCCCCCCCCTTGGTTCCTTACATTGCATACATTTATGCTCTCATTGTGCCTACCACCTATGCGGCCTTCTGCCTGTTCTTTCAAACTAGTCCAATCTGTCTAGCTTAACTTTATTACTCACGGTACCGTGCACGTGACCTATCGGACTGCCGACTTCTTCACGAGCTTTGCCGGTTCGTACGCTCTGCGCTCGTCAGCGCACCTTCTATACGCACTACCACCAACAATCAATACGAAACTAACGATTTTAAATTGGCTCATTACTTGACTAGCCTATTGGTCCCAAGCAAACGATTAACATACCCCATTCTAGCCGAAATTCTAGTACAGACAGGACAGATAAAATGAGGGGTTAGTGGATTTTCCTATGTTTCGAGGGGTGAATCGATTAGCTTGGGACCGAAGAGAGTACCAGAGCTGAGCCAAAAGTTGAGCACGTTATTTCGGGACCTTCTAGTCTTAGAGTTACCTCTATGCTACCACATCGCTCGCCGAAACCAAAAATTGCGACCAATGCAAGCTGTTTGCAGCGCGTTAGGTGGTGTCCTCCAAGCTCTCGAGTTTTGACTGCGCTTGTTTGAACGCTGTTCAACACACGTGGAGGCCGTTGGCGTAGCCGTGCGTCGTTCGTGTCCGCCCAAAGCCGCTCACTCCTTGATCGGTGCTGGTGCTTTGCAGAGGGAAGTGGATGAAGCGAAAAACTTGAACGAGAAACCAAAAAACGAAGGGTAGCATCCGTTACCATCCGTCAACCAAAAAGGGTACAATGTAACTAACCCGTCGTGGGGTCGTTTCCTCCTGATATCGCTCCTGGTTGTCTGGACTTGCTTCCAGTTTGCTATCGGTTGACCACTGAATGGTGGTAGCATTCTGAAGCGCGCCAACGAATCCTCGGGATCACGCTTCCGATCGGTATCGTCTGCCCTAACGGCGTTTATCGTGCCTGACGGAAAAAGTAAATGCCCGTCAGTGACCGGTTGTGATTAACGGGTTGCCGGTTGCTCTCGTATCCGCAACTGCAATGGCAAAACTACTTCCAACCGCTCGTTTGCTCTCGCCCAAATGGTTCCGATCGGTATGGCCTGCCCTGATATCGTTTGTCGTGCCTGTCGTAAAAGGTGAAATGATTTCAGTGACGATATGTTAACGGCTTCGACTCGACTCTGTCTTACCGGTGCTGATTAACGAGTTGCCAGTTTCACTTGTGTTTTGCCACTGCAATAGCAAGGCAACTTCTCGCCGTTCTCAACGTTGTTGAGTAACGTCAGCGTTCTGCCTCGTGCCAGCAGATGCTCGGGACCCAGCCTCCGACCGGTGCTGCCCGCCCTGATGTGTTTATAGCCGATGGTTACCCTACCGGTTACTAATGGGTTGCCGGCTTGCCTCGTGTTTGCCTCGCAATGGAAAAACGACTTATTAATCCAGTGTTGGCTCCCCCACGGACGTCTAGCGTAGCAGTCGACCAACGAGTTGCCGCTTATTGCGAAGGCAATTTCTTTCGTGGCCCAAACTCTACCGGTACACCGGGATTCCAGAGGTTTTTCCACTGTCCACCACCGCGTTACGGGGAAATTTAACACCTCCGCGTAGAAAATCACGGGGAAATTTAACTTCAAATCACCGCCTCGTTTGCAGATTTTCTGGCCAGATCCCAACACTCCAGATAAAGATGCCGATATTTGGCCACTGCCAACGCCGAGGCAAAGAACGAGAAACGTGAGCTTCGTTTAGCTCTTCACTACGGTCGGTGACGCCGACCCAACTTTCCCAAAACTGCAATGGCGAATGAAACCGGAATCGTGCGAGCTGCTGCTGTCTGTCAAACTTTCATAGCGAATCAAAACAAACATTGTGTAGTTCTAGAATTTTGACTAGAGTGGGGTACGTTAATCGATTTGCCTGGGACCAATAGGCTAGTCAAGTAGAGAGCCAATTGAAATTTTTTAGTTTCCACCGGTTGGTAGTACTGCTGCAGCGGCACTAGGTACTGGGATCCCGGACTGAAGAAATGACTGGTTTGACGGCGAATGCAAACTGTTAGTAGAGGCGAAGAATGCTGCAACACCGCACGAGATTGAATGTGGAGCGATACAGACAAAACTCAGTTTT